GTTCAATTTCTATAACTACTCTAACCTGATAAGATGTAATGTGCACACCTACTGTGTCCTCAGTATTTTGACCATTTTGCTAAAAAAGCTGCAGAATTCAAAGGAAGAGCCAGTCATGGGACTGGATTCCAGAGGTGCTGACCACCAGCACTTCTGATTGAGTTCCAGCTGGAGTTGTGGATGCTCAGCACCTCTGAAAATAAGTCTGTATTAATATATAAGGTGTAATAATTTTGATGATGCTGGTATTTTTCAAACATCCTTGAATAGCTGCATATTTAACTTAGGTTATGAAGGAAAAAGGAAAAGTCACATACAGCGTGACAAATGGGGACATTGTCAGCTAAATACAGAGTGCACATAATATTCAGTTCACATAATATTATGGTGTATGTGCTTCACTGTCAGCTTTGGAAAGGTAGATTAGATCAATGAGTATTTCATTCATTTTTATTTCATGCTAGCTCTTTCTTACAAATAAAATATAAACCGGATTCTGAACATCTCTTCTACAGGTATGAAAATGATCAATTGTGGCTCCAATGTAAAACAGATCATACCCTAATTTTTCCATTAGATTAAGGCAATGTTTTTGTAGAATTGACCAAAGGACAATAATTCTATTTCACAAGAACGGTCAAGGTTTCAAAATAAGTTTTTGTTTCATTTTGAAACAAAATCAAAACCTTTAACACAGAATTTGTGAAAACAGAAGTGTAGACATATCTCTGTCATTGTGGAACCTGACATATGGGAGACAACCCATGTTCAAAGGCCTGCTCTGCCTCATTCAGAGCATGTTTATTCATCTGAGATCCCTTCAAATCAGGAAAAGCACAGGAACATCCTACATCTCAAGCTTGTACATTAACCACATAGTTAGGCAGACTCTGAGCCTCCTTTGGCCAAAATAATTGTTTGTAAAACGTTGTGAAACTAGTACGTCTCTTCCAAACATTTCAGGTTCAATGAAACAGCATATTACTCTCAAACAGAAATTGAGTTAAAAATGTTCTGATCAGGTCCACTGTCTCCCCCCCCCCCTTTAAGGAGTCTCAAACTATTTAAAAAAAATCAATTATGTGCCACCTTAACTAGCAAAAAATAACTATTTTTATATCCTACAGGAGTGTATAAAAGTCAGGAAGCTCGACTGATGCTCCATATATATCTTATTAAAGCTCCACCTCATACTTCTGTGAGCAAAATGAAAGAGGAAAAATGGGCTATGGATGGTTTTGTAAGTATATTTCAACAAAAGTGAGAATTTTTAATGTTATATTATGTCTGTTCATTAGGCCAGAAGAATATAAAAACATACCAAATGAAAGTTGGCTGCTCATGCTAATTGGTTTAATAAAATGAAAAATATCTCCCTGTGATTGCAAGGGTGCAGGACTATTGAGTAAAAATGTGATTAGTGAATGGTGATGTTCAGTCTCTTCTTTGTAGGCAAGACCATGATATTGTGGTAAAATATTGAAAAGAAGCACTACTCTTATTTCAGTTTCAACATTATTGCAGATTGTTGAGAGGCTTTCTCATTCTTAGAGTATAATATCACAGCAAGATGCTTTCATCAAGCTAAGATCAATGTTTCCACTTCAGAGTCTACTTCTGTGTAATCTCTCTCTGCAGTGGGCACAGTTATCTTGCTTGGTTCATTTCTAGAAGCAACATATCAAATCTGAGAGAAATAATTCTTGGCAGGGATGTGGGAGAAGTTGAGGAGCTAATTAGCTGGTGTTTTGGTAACATATCTAGAAGTATTGACTTTCAAAAGGTTGGGATATTCCAAAGGACCTAAGGGTTTGCCCAAACACAGACATTGCTTTAACTGTAGTAATACATTAAATACTTATTGTCACTGCTATGGAAGCAGTTACACAGGTACCAAAAGGCAGTATCTCTTGATATGTGAAATATATTGTTAAATTGTTCACTTGTACAGTGAATACTCTTTGACACTAGTTGATTAATAAGAACAAAAGGACTAATAAAAGTATACATAAGGTTGTAGTTCTGAAGCTTGCAAATTTCCTGTGTTCATACTATAGATATGTTATACAACTGTATGTAATGATTAAGTCTGATGAGCTGACCAAAAGAGGGTTATTAGTTGTTGAATGTAGAACATTTATTATCCCTTCATACCTATCTTTGAAACGATGGTTTTCATCATCATAACTTTTACATTCATGGTAGCATTTGAGTTTCAATTATTATAGTGCTTTCTCCCAAAAAATATCAAAACACTAGGGTTATGTCTAGACTGGCATGATTTTCCGCAAATGCTTTTAACGGAAAAGTTTTTCCATTAAAAGCATTTGCGGAAAAGAGCGTCTAGATTGGCAAGGAAGCTTTTGCGCAAAAGCACTTTTTGCAGAAAAGCGTCCATGCCAATCTAGACATGGTTTTACACAAGAAAGCCCCGATCGCCACTTTCGCCATCGGGGCTTTTTTGCACAAAACAGTTTTCAGCTGTCTACACTGGTCCATTTGCGTAAAAGCATTTCCGGAAAAGGGCTTTTGTCAGAACGGGAGCAGCATAGCATTTCCACAAGAACACTGACAATCTTACATGAGATCGTCAGTGTTCTTGCGGAAATTCAAGCGGCCAGTGTAGACAGCTGGCAAGTTTTTCCGCAAAAGCAAGTGCTTTTGCAAAAAAACTTGCCAGCCTAGACGCAGCCTAGTAGTCTGTAAGGGTATGTCTACACTACAGCATTATTTTGAAATATCTTATTTTGAAATAATGCGTCTAAACACAAAATGCATTTCAAAATAGCATTTTGCTGTTTTGAAATAGCGCGTCCACACTGATAAGATGCTGAATCGCATTTAAGGCCAGCCGGAATTGGTTCTGGCAGGGCATCATTTCAGGAGTTACCTTGTGTGGCTAGAAGGTTCGTGCCCCCCAGGTGGTCATCGACCCTGGGGCAGAGCTTGCTTCCTCCTGCTTCTCCAGCCCCTGCTGTCTCCCCAGCTACTACTCCTCCTCCCATTCCTTCTCCCCTCCCGCTTCTTCCTCTCCACCCTTCCCACACCCCCAGCGACTGCTGGCTCTGGGCTGGCAGTCTTGGAGCTGGCACAGACACTGTGGCCAGAGTCTACCCCTTTAAGGGCTCCAGGGAGTGGGGGAGGGAGAGGAGTTATTTTGGTTGTGGCCAGCAGGGCACCCTGGGAAGGGCTGGAGGCCCCCTATTTTTAAATAATCATCTACATAGCGCTTATTTTGAAATAGCAATTTCGAAATTGGTGTTATTCCTCATGGAATGAGGTTTACCAATTTTGAAATAAGCCCTCCGCTATTTTGATTTAATTTCAAAATAGCGGATTGGTTGTGTAAACGCTGGTAAAGTTATTTCGAAATAACGGCTGTTATTTCAAAATCACTTTGCTGTGTAGACATACCCTCAGAGCCTTTTAGAGATGGCAATTTCAGGAATTATCTAGATCAATTTGTAATCTAGTATTTACATATCTGAGCCTGTGTCCTCCTGCAAGGGTCAGGGTTTTACAATTACATTTTATTAATTGAAAAAAGGGATTTCTCTCCCAGTTTGCTGTGAAAGTATCCATCCCCAAAACGGGGAGCAGACTAACCATACACAAAATGCTGCCAAATAATACAAAATAAGCAAACTGAAAGAAATAACTATTTTCTCTCTGATCTTATTCAGTAAGAGTAGTCTTAGCTATTACAAGTACCAAAGACAGGTTGAAAAGAATTCCAAAAATAATGTGACTTTTAAGGTTGACAGTGCTCCTTTAGTGCCTCTGCTTTCCCCCATGCTCAGCGAATTCATATCCTTATTCAACAGGAGTATTTTGGAGGGAAGGCTGACAGGCAGCTGAGTGGTTTAGGAATTTCAATTCCAACCTGATTATAATCACCTTGCACATTTCTAACCAAGTTTTCCCAATGTAATTTCTGAGATTCTAC